TTTAAAATTGTTAACCCTTAGAGGTAAGCATAGTACCTTGTTTTTATTTTAAAAACTTAGTAAAATACATTATTTTACATTGCTTTCTGTTATGGGTTCAATTGTGCTCCCCACCCCCAATTCATATGTTAAAGTCCTAATTCTCAGTAGTTCAGAATATGATCTTACTTGGAAATAGGTTTGTTGCAGATGTAATTAGTTAAGATGAATTATACTGGAGTAGGGTGGACCCCTAATCCTTATTATAGGGACTAGTGTCCCTATAAAAAGGGGAAATTTGGACACAGACACTGTTATGAACCTAATGCTGTTTCCCTATAATTCATATGTTGAAGCCCTCACCCCCAATATGACCATGTTTAGATACAGAGCCTTTAAAGAGGTAATTTATTGCCCAGCTGGTGTGGCTCAGTGGTTGAGCATTGACCCATGCACCAAGAGGTCACTGGTTTGATTCCTGGTCAGGGCACATGCCCAGATTGTGGACCAAATCCCCAGTGGGGGGCATTCAGGAGGCGGCCAATCAATGTATTCTCTCATCAATGTTTCTATCTCTCTCCTCTCCTTTCCTCTCTCTCTAAAATCAATAAAGAAAAAAATTTAAAAATAGGTAATTTATTAAAGTTAAATAATGTCATAAAGGTAGGCCCCTGATCCAATAGGACTGATGTCCTTATCAGAGGAAGAGATACCAGGGGCGTGGAAAAAGACCTTATGAAGACACAGCAAGAAGTTGGCTATCTGACCCGAGGACATTTTTTTCATTTTTTGTTCAGGTAGAGTGGGAGGGAGAGAGAGGAACAGAGAGAGAGAGAGAGAAACATCGATGTGAAAGGAACACATTGAGTGGTTGCCACCCGCACAACTGACCAGGGCCGGGGACAAACTGCAACCGAGGTATGCGCCCTTAGCGGGAACCGAACCCGGGTCTCTCAGGACCACAGGCTGACGCTCTAACCACTGAGCCAAACCGGCCAGGGCAAGAAGTAGGCTATCTGAAGCCAAGGAGAGAGAAACCAAACTTTCTGACATATTGATCTCTGATTTCCAGCCCTCAGAACTGTGAGAAAATAAATTTCTGTTGTTTAAGCCACCCAGTCTGTGGTGACTGCTCTTCAGTCCTGCTGAGACAGAATAAATTAAGGACTTTGAAGTTCACAGACCTTTGGCATTGTCAACTGGGAAATGAGGAAACAGCCATAGCCAATGATGACAACATTTCAGTTTTCTTTGCCAGCATCCTCTTGGGAATCAGTATCCAGAACATTGGGCTTCTTCTGAAAATCTTTTATTTGAATCTTGAAGGTTCCAAAGGCTAGTAAATAATTGTGTCTTCCTCCAGAAGAGCCAAATGTATGGCTCACATCTTCCAACAGTGCATGTGTACCTGTCTATGGGCTATGCTTACCCATCTTTACTATTTTCTAGCTCTTCTTTTTCCTTCATTCCCAACTCTCCCACAATTTCTCTTTATTCTTTCATACTATATTCATTGAGGAAAGAAGAGAGGACGAATCAGTGTGTAACCCACCCCTTTATTATTTTAATATTGTTTCTGTTAAAAGTGTTTTTGGCCCTGGCCGATTTGGCTCAGCGGTTAGAGTGTTGGCCTGTGGTCCAGAGAGACCCGGGTTCAGTTCCCGCTAAGGGCATGTACCTCGGTTGCAGTTTGTCCCTGGCCCTGGTTGGTCGTGCGGGTGGTAGCCACTCAATGTGTCTCTTTCACGTTGATGTTTCTCTCTCCCTCTCTCTCCCTCTACCTGAACAAAAAATGGAAAAGTGTCCTCAGGTGAGGATTAAAAACAACAACAACAAAAAGCAAAACAAAAAAAAAAAGTGTTTATGAAAAATTGTTAACTAATATATAACCCGTGGATAAGGGGCATATTTGTGTAAGGGTTCCAGGAACTAGCTACAGGGGAGGAGGCTGACTCCAGGAATCTGATGTACTGGCTCCAGAAGACTTGTTAACTCTAAACCATAAAAACAGTACTTCTGCTTGACCAATTTCAAAATAATCATCAGAACGGACTGTGCTGACTCACAGAGAACTTTCAACCCTCCTCTCCATAATTTCTTTGTTCTGCTTTCCCTCTTCCTTCTCATAAAGACATCTGCCTGTGCTGAGATGTTAAGATGGTCTTTAGGACGGGAGTCCATCATCTTCTCAGGCTGATGGCACTTGAATAAACTGTCTTTCTTTGCACCAGCATCTGTCTCTCAAGTATTGGCTTTAGAAGCAGCAGGCAACCAAACCTGATTTCAATATCAAGTAGACAAATAGATAAGATGGGCATTATCTTTTTTTTTTTTTTAATCCTCACCTGAAGATATTTAGATAGAGTGGGAGGGAGAGAGAGAGAGAGATAGATACAGAGAAACACTGATGTAATTGGTTGCCTCCCAACTTGCAACCAAGGTATGTGCCCTTGACTGGAAATTGAACCCATGACTCTTTGGTCCATGGGCCAATACTCTAACTACTGAGCCAAACCAGCTAGGGACAAATGAGCATTGTTTTGACCTGCTATGCCAGGAGCTCCAAATTCTGTCAGAGGTAGACACACTGGTCTCCAGCTAACAGGCTCACTGCAGAATTTGTCTTTAGGTATGGACAACCTAGCCAAAGCAATAGCCCTTCTTTATTCAGTATAAGACAAAACATCTTATACTGAATCAAAGGTGTTGGTAGTAGTATACTATCAGAGTTCTGTACTCAAATTAGGGATTATGGTGTCTATATCTCTTTACCACAACTACCATTCTTTATCTTCTCTTTTCTTTCCCCCTCTACCAACTTCTCCCTTTTTAAAAAAACATTTCATGAGAATCGGAATTTGAATAGAACTCTGAGTAGCATGTGTCAACATAAGAAACATTCAAACCTGTGAAGAATTTTTGTGAGTTTATTTGAGCCAAAACCGTCAGCAATTTCTGGGAAGCAAAATCTCAATGGATTGAGATAATGCTCCAGAAAATGGCAGTTTTGCACCTTACTTTATACATTACAATCAAAAGACAAAATGCAAGTGGTTACACAAAATCCACTGGTAGAGAGACTAGGGAGGTGGGACAAAGCAAATCAGGGAAATATCTGTGTTTGGATGAGAAGTAAAATGATAGACACATACATCTTTTACATAGGTGGGTACAGGATAGTTAACAATTAACTCTGTAACAATGAGGGGATTTGTGGTCTCTAAGAGTAGTGCCTGTGCGTGAGGGGTCTGGAAAAAGAAAAATTACTTTGACATTCCAAAAATATGTAATTGTAGATGCAAAAAGACAACAGATAGTCTTAGTTAAGGTAAACATTGACCTTTGTCAGGGAAGATGTTGGCCTAGAACATGACTACCTGCTATAAACTGCTTTTAGTTTAAAAGTTTTTATTTCAGGCCATCCTTTGTGGTTACTTTAGGTCTCTGAGTTTGCAAGGCTGCCATGCAGGCCTCCCCTGAGCTTGTCAGGTTAGCACGTGGCTGCATGTTAACATGGCTGCAGAAACATGTTGATATTCTCTAAGAGTGGCATTCTGACTCCTGATTCCTCTGGTTTAGAATTCTATTGTTCCTGGATTTATTCCTATATTATTTTGTGCTTCTATGGAAACATTCATTTAGCATGTTCTGCAAACTTGTCTTTAAATAGACTGATTATGCCCTGGCCAGTTTGGCTCAGAGCGTCAGAGCCTTGGCCTGCAGTCCAAAGAGACCCAGGTTCAGTTCCCACTAGGAGCACGTAACTTGGTTGCAGTTTGTCCCCGGCTCTGGTTGGGTTGTGCAGGGAGCGGCCACTCGATGTGTCCCTTTCACGTCGATGTTTCTCTCTCTCTCCCTCCCACTCTATCTGAACAAAAAAAGGGGGAAAAAATGAAAAAAAAAAATAGAGTGATTACTTGAAGGCACATCTTAGTTACCTATGTAACCACTGCAAGGCTTGTCTCTGTGCTATGCACAAAGCGTCAAAAGTGTTTGTTTGTGATTATATTGTGGTGTCTGAGAAGGAAGGGCACAATAAATGCCACTGTGACTATTTGGTGAATCTTTAAAAAATATATTTTTATTGATTTTTGAGAGAGAGAGAAAGAGAGAGAGGAAGGGAGAGAAACATCCTTTGGCTGCCTCCTGCACGCCCCCTACTGGGGATGAGCCGCAACCTAGGCATGTGCCCCAATCCTCCCTAATAGAGCCAGGACCTCTCAATCCAAGGAACAATGCTCAATCCACTGAGCCACACCGGCTGGGCTATTTAGTGATCAGCTAATCTGTTCTTGGGAATCTTGACTTGTCTGCCCTAAGAACATGCATCTGAGTTGTGATAATCAGAGATGTGCATTCAGTTTGGAGTTTTAAATGGAAGCGGAAACTAACAGTTGTTGAATCTACCATGAGTAGGATACAATTTTTTCTCATAGCACCCTCACGGTTATCCCATAAAGTAGAAGCTGGGAAGGGGAGAAGGGAAACTGAGCTAGGTTTTCAGGCTTTCAATGGACAAGCAGGAAGAGGAGCACAGTCAGATTTCAAGAGAGGCTCTGAATCCCTCTTCGCATCTTTGGGTGGAGCCGCCTGCTACGGGTGTTCTTTCCCTGCGCGCTACAGTTCCTGCACGGGCAACCGAAACGACACCGTGCTGTGTCAAGGTTTCCAGCAGGAGCCACCCTCCTCACTACACCCTAGTTTCTACCACCCGGCCGCCCCAGCCCTACGCTCTGCCGCGACCTCACTTCAGCTCACCGAAGTTCTGACATTTAAATCCTCAGGTCCCCAGCGGCGGAAACGCCCCTCGGTACCGCCCCCTTGCCGCGGGGCTCCTATGATTGGACGTGGTTGAGCCCGGCTGGCCAATGGTGAGGCGGCAGCAGATTCCAGGAAGTGTCGGGGGTGGAGCGTTCCTCGGCTTCCGCGGCGGGCTTGGTTGCGTCTAATTCACCGGTGTTGGCCCGCGCGATGAGTTCTTTCCAGGGCCAGATGGCTGAGTATCCAAACATCTCCATAGACCGATTCGACAGGGAGAATCTCAGGGCCCGCGCCTACTTCCTGTCCCATTGCCACAAGGGTGAGTGAGCGCGGCGTGCCGCCCACTCCCTGGGGACCGGGGCTACACGGGTTCTGGCCCCGCGGGGAAGTCCCCGGGAGCTGGCGAGGAGCGAAGTCGGGCGTCGGGGTCCCGGAGCGAGGGCGTGCGGGCTTTGGGAGGCCAGGAGAGAGACTAGCACCTGCACCTTGTCCCAGCCTGGCTCTACAGCCTCTGAGGCCTTCTTTTCTCATCTGCCAGTTGCGCTCTGAACCGGGGCAGTTTGATCAGGCACAACTGGTATGTTCTGGGAGCTCTCCTAGCGGCCAGTAGTCAGAGGCTGGCGAGGATTACTTCGTTCTTCTCCCACACCCTCGCTACTGCTATGTTATAGGGGAGAATGGGATGGAGTTCCGCTACACTGCCCTAACGTTTATTAACAAGCAGGCACACTCACGCTTAGAAATCAAACATCCTGTCTGTAAACTCGCCAGTTGCAAGCCCCCACGCTCCTTAGATATTTTGTTCACATTCAACAGAAAAGGTTCATTTTAGTCTCGAGGAAGAATATGGTTTACCTTATAGATGGCCAGGTCAGGCAGCCAGAACACCAAGATGGCACAGCTGGGTGAGGTTAGGGATGGAGCCTGAAACCTCTAACCCTAATGATAGGCTAGGTGCTCCAGACACAGCTGGGGCGTCTTTAAAACATTTTAGCCATCTGCAGAGATGGCATATCCCTAATTTCACAACCATTGTCTGTTTTCAGTATCTATTATGCTGATTAATGGGTCACTAACTTCAATGCAAACGGTTTTAATATTCATTATGCTAATTAGCACAGCCTTTGGCATTGAGAGGTGAAGAGAAACTGAAGCACTCTAGTAGCTGCCTCTAGGGGTGTGGGCTTCCAGGGTAGGTTGAGTAGGATGCTCCCAACCGCTCTCGAGTGAATTAGAGCATTAACAAACATGCACAGACATAACACAGTGTAATTTTATAGTCAATTACAGATGTCAAGCATTGCCCTTCCTCACCCGGTTGGTGTGAAGACCAACTGTTGTCTTGTATGTGGAATCAATCCCTTGAACCTGGTGCAAATTGTTGACATTAACCGCTTTGGGGAAATAACTTTCTTGCTCAAAGCCACCAATGATTTCTCTTTAATGAGGAAAATCTGAAGCTCCTCTCGCCATTTGTTAAACATCACTGTGAGCCTCCTTGAGGGTTTTTTTGCTTATTCTTGAGAATAACATTTTCGGGGTCTTGCTTTTCATTGAGAATCTGCTGCTGGATGAGGATGTCTCTGTTTTTACTTTTTTTTTTTTTTTCCTTCTATTTTTTGTTCAGATAGAGTGGGAGGGAGAGAGAGGGAGAGAGAGAAACATCGATGTGAAAGGGACACATCGAGTGGCTGCCACCCACACGACCAACCAGGGCCGGGGACAAACTGCAACCGAGGTATGTGCCCTTAGCGGGAACCGAACCCAGGTCTCTCTGGACCGCAGGCCGATGCTCTAACCGCTGAGCCAAACCGGCCAGGGCTCTGTTTTTACTTTTTGTGTTAAGTCTCACTGGAGTTTCTGAATGTGTTAGCCATGATTAAAGTATGGCAAGGGGGCTTGCCTTTATGTTTAGAAGTAATGAGTTTGGAGAAAGAATTCAAAAGGAAGCTGTGAAATCATAATTAGTTTGTACATTAAAGCAAGAAATTACTCTTTGAGAAGTTTATAATAATGTTTCCTGTTCTCAGATCACATGTGGGTCTGTTTATTCAACCGGGGTAAACTCATCAAGGGCAAGCACTCACCTTCTGCTTTTGGTGATTTCCTATGTTTTTAATCTTTTTGGGAAACAGACTTTTTTGGATGTTCTATGGACTAAATCGTGCCCCTCCTTTCCCCATTCATATGATGAGGCCCTAACCCCGATGTGACTGTCTCTGGAGATAGGGCATTTAGGAAGTAACAAAGTGAAACGAGGTCATAAGGGTGGGGTCCTAATTTGATAGGACTTAAAAGAAGAGGAAGAGATCTCTCTCTCTTTCTCTTTCTCTTCCTCTTCACACACACACACAGACCTAGGAAAAGTCATGTGAACAGATAGCAAGAAAATGGCTGTCTGTCAGCCAGAAAAGGAAGTCTTACCAGAATCCAACCTTGGACTTCAGCCTCTAGAACTGTGAGAAATAAATTTCCGTGGTTTAAGCTCCACCCCCACCCCCTAGTCTATGGTATTGTGTTATGACAGCCCTAGCAGATTAATACATACTATCTGATAAAAATCTATGGACCTTTTTGTTAGAAAAAATGCACATAAACATGTTACTATAATATTTTGATACAATTTGGGGTAGGCCATGGATCCACTTGATGCTAGTTTATGGACTGTCTGGAACCCAGTGCTGTGCTTGGAGTGAACTAGACTTTAGTAACCATCAGTGAGGCCTGGAGGACGAGAGGGTACCCATGGCCTGAGGTAATTGCCCAGAGTTGGGGAGGACCCCTTCAGGGGACAACTTATGATAATTTATTCTGGTCAAGGAAGAAGAAAAAGGCCCTGAAAATGAGCCTTCTGGGTGCACTTCTAGCAACATAAAGCAAACTCACTCAGGCCCTGTTGGCCACTAGTCAGGAAGAGACCTGGAGAAGTATGTATGTGAGGGGGGTTCTTGAATACACAGCTCTAGGGTCTGCCTGCTGAATTAGTTTCAGAGCACAGAGCAGAGTCCTGAGTTTGCCTCCTTTTTGCCATGACACAAACTCTCTGGAAACCCCAATTACTGAGATTCCCACTTTCTGGTATACCCACAGGCCCTAAGAGCCTGGGCCAGGAGTGATCTGAGAAGATTCAGCCTCTGAGGGGGCAGGTGGATTGTCCTGTGGAGGCACCTGTCCGGGGAAGGTCTGCCACATGAGGTATAGTGACTGCCTTGTGTTCATTGGAGTCAAGGATCACCACATATAAACTACATGGGCCTGGCTGGTTTGGCTCAGCAGTTGGAGTGTCAACCCGCAGACCGAAGGGTCTCGGGTTTGATTCCTGGTCAAGGGCATGTACTTGGTTTGCAGGTTCGATCCTCAGCCCCTTGGGGTTGTGCAGGAGGCAGCCAGTCAATGTCTCTCTCACATCGATGTTTCTCTCTCCCCCTCCCACCCTCCCTTCCACTCTGTCTAAAAATCAATGAAAACTAGGTGAGGATTATATTGAGGCATGTGTTTAGGTGGTAATTAGAATAATTAGAATTGGTTTGATTTAACTAAAGAATTTAGAAGTGTCTGGTCATTGTTATTAGGCCTTGGCATGCTCAAGGTTCAGAATGTATTAGAATGCATTCTATGTTTAATGTGCTATTTGATATAAATGTTACCTGTCTTTAAATGTTATCTTTCTGTATCTGTTAATTTGGAAGGCTGTGGAGGACGCCTGTGTGAATAGAAATATCCCACTTCTCAACCCATCAGTCATAGTAGGAGGTGAAGATAACAAAACTCTTCTTATTCTGCCAGAGCCTGAAGGATTTCCTAGAGGAGTCCATGGAAGCAATCTTGAATTTCAAGATGAACTAAATTAAGTGACAAATTGGATGGGTCACAGAGATCAAGGACTGAGGGTGGTTGGATTGAAATGAAAGAAGGTGGTAAAGGAAATTGCTGGAAGCAGTTCTGAATGAGACCCTGTGGCTGCTCAGAGTGATTTAGACTCTGCCCTAAGATTCAGGGGACCATTCTCCTTCTAAATGGCTTCTAATGGCTCAGAAGAAGAGATAGATGGTCAACTTTTATTGGTTCTTGTCCTGTTTTCAGATGGATTCTTCACCTGCAAAAGAGATAGCCAACAGCCCATACAAATCAACTCTCTTATAAAAGTGAATTTATTATGTATTTTCTCTTAAAGGAAGTTTAAAAAGAGCAGACACCTGAGTTTCCTTGGTAAGTAAGCCTTTGCAAAAATAATGTGTTTGATTTTTCATCCTTTTGTTTTTAGATCACATGAAAGGATTAAGAGCCCCGGCCTTGAAAAGAAGGTTGGAGTGCAGGTAATTAATTTTGATACTTATTTGTGTTTGTGTGTCTGTCTTTAACCATTTTAATTGAGCTATAGCATCTATACAGAAGAGTACATACATAATAAAGGTACAGTCTGATGAACTTTTACAAGTGAAGCTTCCACTCAAATCAAGAAATAGAACAGAACCAGTATACCTGTTCTTTCTCCCAGCCAGCCCCCTCTCCCTAAGGTCACCTCTGTTCTGACTTTTGTCTTCATGGTTTAGCTCTGGCTTTTGAACTTTATGTAAATAGAATCATATTAAATAGACTTTTCTATTTCACTTAACATCTTTGTATGATTCATCCGTGCTATTGGGTGGGCAGCAGTCTGTTCCTTTTCATTTCTTTAAGTGTGTGTGTGTGTGTTTGTAAATGATTGTTTCACTATAAGGAATCATATAATACTGTTGGATTTTTTTCTTAAAGCTGAACTATTTTATTCTTTTCCTGCAGCCATTACTTAAATCTAAATTTCATATTCCCAAGATACATATTTGGAAAGGGTCCTGTTGACTTTTGAACCAGTGAATGTCAGGCTAAGTGCTCTCTATCTGCTAAGGGATATCAGTAGTCTATGTTCTTGATAATGACTATTATGTTTATTGAGTACTTATATATATGCAAGGCACTACATGTTTATTAGTTCAGCAGTTTCTTTGAGTGCCTGTGATGAGTCAGGCACTATGCTGGATATTGACAATACAATAGTGAGCAATCCAGATGAAAATCCCTGTCTTCTTGGAGCTGACATCCACATTAGTGCCCTTTGATAACTTTTTGAATAGATATTCCTATTATTTAGATATTATTATTATTATTATTATTATAGATATTGTTTCTGTTTTACAGATGAGGAAACTGAGGAACCAGAGAGGTTAAATTAGTTGCCCAAGGTCACACAGCCAGTAGGTGGCAGGACCAGGATTTCAACCAGGTCTGTCTGATTTTAGAGCCTGTGTATTAGTTACCTATTGCTGTGTAACAAATTACCCTAAAACATAGTGACTTAAACCAATTAATAATGTATTCTCTCTCTCTCTCAGTTTCTATGGGTCAGGGATTCTGATGGAACACAGTGGGGATGGCTGGTTTCTGCCTGATTGGGCATCATATGGGGGCTGACCTTACCTGAAGGCTCCTCCTTTCCAGGTCTGACACCTGGGCTGAGAACACTCAGACACCTGGGCCTTCTCGGGCATTCCTATGTCTAAAATGTCTTCAACATGGTGGTTTCAGGATAGCTGGACTTTTAAAAAAATCCTCACCTAAGCACATGTTCCTTGATTTTTAGAGAAGGGGGAAGGAAGAGAAGCGGGGGGGGGGGGGGGGGGGAGAGAAGCATCAATATAAGAGAAAAACATCGATCAGTTGCCTCTCATATGCACCCCAACCTGGGAACAAACCCACAAGCTAGGTAGGTATGTGCCCTGACTGGGAATCAAACCCGCAACCTTTTAGTGTACAGGACAACACTCTAACCAACTGAGCCATACGGGCCAGGGCAGGATAGCTGGACTTCTTAAATGGAAACTTAAAAAATAAAAAAGTGTATGTGTCAGGTGAGAGCTAGCAGGCAGCCAGGTTGCCTGGAGATCTATCCTCAAAAGTCCTGGGATACTACTTCTGTTATGTTCTGTTGGTTAAGACAGTTACAAAGTTCCACCCAGGTGCAGGGGGAGATTAATATAGAGACTTCCTGTCAATGGAGGGATTTCCATGTCCATTTTGTAAGAAGACTGTGTATGGATGGGTTATATATCAGTATATATATCAGTGGCCATCTTTGGAAAATACAGTCTGCCACAGACTGTATTCCTGACCTCTCTAAGCTATACTGTTGAATTTTTTAATTTTATCATGAAATTGATCTCTGCTCACTAAATAAAAACAAAACAAAACATAAAACAGAATAGCTATATATGAAGCAAAACACAGTCTTCTGTTCCCCTCCCACACCCCCTTTTCATTCCCCAGGGGTATCTTAGCATTTGATGGTATCTTTCCAGACATACCTGATATGTACAAAAATGCATCTTTAACAAAGTTAGTGAGGGCCAACCTTTTGAGAAGGTCAGAGGACAGTGTTTTTTTTCCATCTGCTTCTTCCCCGTCTCTTTACACTCTCAATGGGACTGAGATAGTCACTGGGGTGCTGGCATGTTGGGAACTACACTAAGACTTCTTGTGCCGGCTCAGATTCTGAATTATTCGAGATGAACTGACAGATGATGAAATGTGTTTCCTAGTCACCAAGATGTCTCAGTTTGGATCGTGCTGAAATCACTTTCTTTTTCTTTCTCTTGCAGCTTGAAGGTTTACTTATACTGTTCACCTGTTACTAAAGAGTTGTTGTTAACTAGCCCGAAGTACAGGTTTTGGGAGAAAAGAATTGTAAGTTTTATTTTTTGCATGATGCTAATTCTTTTTTTTCGACTGGGAAATAGCACTGGAATTATTCAAAGACGAATTCCTCACACACTGTGTTTATCTACATTCATTACAATATTGATACTTGCCCTGGCCAGTTTGGCTCCGTGGTTAGAGCATCAGCTCGTAGACCAAAGAGTCCCGGGTTTAATTCCAGCCAAGGGAACATACCTCAGTTGGTCCCTGGTCGAGGTCATGCAGGTGGCAACCAATCGATGTGTTTCTCTCACATCGGTGTTTCTCTCTCTCTCTTCCTCTCTCCCTCCTTCCTGCTCTATCTGAAGATAAATGGAAAAATATCCTCAGTTGAGGATTAAAAAACAAAACAAAACAATATTGATACTTAGTATTTGCAGTTTAGTGGTTTAAAAGAGGTCAACATTTTATTTTTGATTTGCTTTTCTTGTCCCTCAACAGTTTGATCTTGGTTCTTAGTTTTGTTTTATGTCATTGACTCTCTTACTAAGTTGCATTTTAATACTCAACAGTGTAGAAGGGTCATTAACATAAATGATAAATCCTTTATTTAGACCATGGGATAGATTAGGAAAAAATAAATAAAATGTATGGGTTATAATAAGAAAGGGCTTACAACCAGAGTACAAATAAAATGAGTAATTTTGAATCTGGCAAAATAAAATAGATCTAATTAATGGAAGGGAGATATAGTAAAGGGGAGAAAACACAAGTGTGTACTTAGAAAATGTGAAGGTGGCAGGAAAAATTCTATTACAGTAATTACTATAAATATCAATGGATTTAATTCAATTGTTGATCAAAAGACAAATTCTCAGCTTAGGTTAAAAAAAAAAATGAGAAAAGTCCACTAGCCTTAGTCTACAAGAGACACAGTGAAAACAAAAGGATGGATGCGGGTTGAAATGGGGGGGAGAGGGGGAGGAAAAACATACACTAAATAATTAGAAGCTAAAAATGCCTGAGTGGCAATTTTTATATGGTACAAAATAGAACTGAAGGCCAAAAAAATCCTAAGTTTCAAAGAGGATTCTATTTACTATTAAAAGGAACAATGGCTCAAGAAGACAGGAACATATATGCAATTGACAAAGTTGCCTTAACCAGGATAAAGTAATAACATCACCCTTGCTTAGTCAGAGAAAGAACCACAGTAAGTGAAGGGAATTAGGGCTCATTATGTAGGTTAAACCATAAGTAGTTGTGAGAGTTGGCAGAGAAGTCTGAACAAGTGCCATCGTCTGTTTGTTGTTTGCTGACAGCTTTCATCTCCCACTTCCTCTCTCCCCTGGTGCCCCACATCTGGGTAAACTGATACAAAAGCCTACCCCTCCCTTGGCGCCCACTGGAAGTTCGAACCAGGCAAGCTGAGGCCCACCCCCAACCGCAGTAGAAGAAGGGCCACAAGCTCCTGCTCTCTCTCAGACCACAGGAGCCACTTCTAGCCTGGTATTGCCCCCCTCTTCCCAGAAAGTCCCCCGATGTGAATACTGCCGTGTTTTCATGCCCCTTTGGTGCATGGGTGGCATCTTCTATCTCTACCTCCAACCTAGCAGCGGGGTGGAGTCCATCCTCTCTTCACAAAGGGACATAACAGCAGGGCTGTAACCTTGGCCTTGGTGTTGGCCTGAACTTTCTCTGGGTCAGCCTGGCCAGCAGTTAGGAAGGAAGCCGAGAAAGAGTGGAGAAGAGCAAAGACAGGCTGGAATCCACAAGGACAACTGGAAGCTGTGTCTGCCTTTCCCTCCTCCCAGCCCCAGTAGTGCTGCCACTCCCTTTGCCACCTGGCTCCACTCACCTGGCCCAGGACCTGAGAGGCTGGAGGAGGACAGGTATCCAGCATATCCCCCAGAGGAGAGTGTTGGCTGCCGTCCGGCCACGTGTCTGTGAGTTGAGCCAGCAGATCAACAACTCACATGAGATGTTATAATTTCTGGTGCCCTGCAGAGCACTAAAGAATGGCTGTGCGTTCCCTTCTGCCTTCTAAATCTCAGCCTAAGCTGGAAATATACATGGAAGGGACTTCTAGGATAGTTCCAGCTCAGCTAAGTTGGTGTAGGCCCAGGCCACCTCACAATCGAAGGGAGAAACAGGAACTCAACAGTTCTAACTGGAGTGCTTCCCACACCACTGTCAGGACATAGGGGAGGAAGGAGGCAGGAAATACGTGAAAATACAGAAGATTTGAATGACATACGTGGTAAATTTGAACTAAGAGAAATATAGAGCTTTAAACCCAACAGAGAAAACAAGAGCTTTTATAAAAATTGTTTAAGTACTATGTCACAAAAGAAGTTTTAAGAAATCCTAGTGATCTGTCCTTCGACCATAATGCAGTGGTGTTGGAAATCAGAAATAACAGGAGAGCTAAAGTCATCCCATTATATGCATATGGGAACTAAATGTATACAATAAACAACTCTAGGTTAAAGAGGAAATTGTAAAAAAATATATACTACATAGAACTGATAGACAGTGAAAATGTGACTTGTGGAACAGCTGAATTAGTATTTGAAGGGAGATTGTAGCATTAAATCATTTCTTAGAAAGACTAGAATTAAATGGAGTGTCTTCAACTCAATAAGAAGGAAAAGGAACAACAAAGCAAATCTAAGGATATGTGATATTTCTTCACAGAATTAGAGATAAATGTCTGCCAGTATTGACTTCAAAAAGATCAGTATAAAAATATAAAACGAGCCCTGGCCGGTTGCTCAGTGGTTAGAGCATCCATCCGCATACCAGTGAGTCGCAGGTTTGATTCCATTTGAGGGCATGTACCTCTTTTGTGTTTCATCCCCGGCCCTGGTCAGGTCATGCAGGAGGCAACCAGTCGATGTGGCTCTATCACATCGATGTTTCTCTCTGTCTCTCTCTCTCCCACCCTCCCTCCCATTCTATCTGATAATAAGTAGAAAAGTATCCTCAGGTGAGGAATAAAAAAACAAACAAACAAACAAAAACACAAAACGATAAAGGAAAAATATTAATAACAGCAATGCATTTTTTTGACATTTGCTATGATAGTGTATTTGATAATTTAGACAATGCGGATAAATATCTGGAAAAGTAGGAAAATACCAAATTGAAGCAAGAAAAATAGAAAACTTGAATAGATCAGTAACCATTCAAAAATTTAAAACAATTTTAAGATCTCTTCTTCAGTAAAGCCCCACGCCCACATAGTTTTATAGGTACATTTTGCCAAATGTTAGAGAACAAATAATCCCTATACTAGATGAATTACTGTAGAGATAATAAAATAATCCACTCAACCCTGCTGGTAAAATAGGTAATAATAGTACATGGGGAGAAAAGACCATTTCATATGTGAACATAAAAAGATGAAAACTTATGCTCTTTCATTCATCATCTACTTATTGAATGTCTTCGTGTCAGCTGCTGTCCTAATGCAAGTACACCTTGGAGCAGCTCAAATTTGTGAATTAGGCCAATGTGTCATGGACAGGTCCAGCACAAAACCTAAATACATAGAACATGACTTCGTGTTTTACAAAGACTCTGGTTCAGAGGGATGGGAGGTGAAGGGAGGAAGAGTGAGTTCGTGGAAATAGAATTGCTGTCAAAGGAGATACACGTTTCTAAGGCACTTATATATATTGCCACATCAACCTTGAGAAAGGTATTATTTTAGCTTTATCATATTTTCAATCTGTTTAAAACATTTATTATAGTGAAATTAGAAATTGTTAGAGAGCCTGTAACTTCTTCTCTTAGTCCCCTTTCTCTGTTTGGGATGGCAAAGGCATATAAAGCCATGAAAAACCGTGGAAATGGCCAGTTTGATTCCTGGTCAAAACACATGCCCACGCTGTGGGCCCGATCCCCAGTGAGGGGCATGCAGGAGGCAGCCAGTCAATGTTCTCTCACATCGATGTTTCTATCTCTCTCTCCCTCTCACTTTTTCTCTTTCTAATATCAATAAAGAAAAAAAAAGTTAAAAGAAAAAGAAACTGTGGAAATATATAATATGATGTATACATAATCTCTTATTTTGTTTTAACAGATATCAATTGAAATTGAAACTCCTACCCAGATATCATTAGTCGATGAAGCATCAGGCGAGGTAACTAAATATTAAACATCATGTTTTTGAAAATTCATATTTAGTGCTAAAATGATTATTTTCTTTTCTCCTTGATTTTTGAATGTTCATTTAACCATAAGTAAAAATTATAGTAACTGAGTAAGTTTGTGGGGAAAAATATCTCCCAAGGAGTGGACATGATTTCTGTCAGAATGGCACCTTTTTAGTTTCACATGCTAATGAGGGAATGCCAGTTGTTGAATTGCTATGTGATGTCAGTGTCACATTTAATAAGCTTATTATAATGATTACGCAATAAGACAGTGCTTAATATGTCGCAGCAAATTCATGTATATATGTATCCACTCATCTATTGATGGACATTTGGGCTATTTCCAGATCTTAGCAATTGTAAATAGTGCACATAGGGGTGCATAGATTCTCTCTGTTTGGTATTTCAGGCTTCTTACGATATATTCCTAAAAGTGGAATCACTGGGTCAAATGGCAGTTCAATTATTAATTTTTTGAGGAGATGCCATACTGTTTTCCACAGTGGCTGCACCAGTCTGCATTCCCACCAGCAGTGTACTAGAGTCCCCTTTTCTCCACACCCTTGCCAACACTTGTTGTTCCATGATTTGTTGATGGCGGCCATTCTGACAGGTGTGAGGTGATTCCTCATAGTTGTTTTAATGTGCATCTCTCTAATGATTAGTGATGAGTGTACTGTTTTAATACTAAATAGGACTGTGGAACTACCTTTTATTTGTTGTTTTTACCTCATTATATCTAGAGCTAGGAGGTATTTTTCTGTTTTTTGGCAATCTAGTGAATATTTGTTCTATAGTCCGATTATAACCTGCTTTATTGACATGGTGAACTCTGAGGGTGTTGTTTGTTCTAAGACTGTGATCAGCCAGGGGCTGACTTTTCCCATTACCTTTTGGAGAACATCAGGCATTTAAAGTTCTCATAAAATGATTGTCCCAAGGGAGGACTGCACAGCCCATTTAGGGCGGGTTACAAAGGAGGGCCTGAACCTTTCCCAGTGCCGTCCTGAACTCAGTCAGCTAACACGTTTGGGAGACTTGCTCTCATTGCCTCGCTGCCTTGTGACGTATGTGGTGAACGACGTTCTCAAAGCCGGGCCCCAGACAACAGGCAGCTCTCGCTTAGCAGAGCCTTAGTCCCTCTCTGGTCCTTTAGGTTTCCTCTCGTGCTCTGTGGCTTTTGTGTGTTGTGTCTCCATCTCCAATCATTGGGACACCTTGTTTTAAAGAGGCCTTTGGAAAGAATGATGTTAGACTTATGAGAGGAGCTGGTGTGTCCAGAGCTCTGCCTACCTTACCCTCCCCCACCCCATCCTGAGGGCTGAGAGGCAAGCCCACCAAGCTCAGCCCCAATAGGAAGTGCAGCATGGTGACTTGGGACCAGGCTACATCAAGCTTCTTTTATTTTATTTTATTTTATCTTATTTTATTTTATTGTTTTCTTTCTTTATTTTTTAGAGAGAGAGGAAGAGAGAGGGAGAGAGGGAGAAACATTGATGAGAGAGAACATCGATTGGCCACCTCCTGCATGCCCCCCACTGGGGATTCGGCCCACAAGCTGGGCATGTTTCCTGACCAGGAATCAAACCGGCAACCTCTTGGTGCATGGGTCAACACTCAACCACTGAGACACACCAGCTGGGCAAGCTGTTTTTTTAAAATAACAACTCTATTGCCCTGGCCGGTTTGGCTCAGCGGTTAGAGCGTCCGCCTGCGGTCCGGAGAGACCCGGGTTCGGTTCCCGCTAAGGGCATGTACCTCGGTTGCAGTTTGTCCCCGGCCCTGGTTGGTCGTGCGGGTGGCAGCCACTTGATGTGTCTCTTTCACATCGATGTTTCCCTCTCTCTCTCTCTTCCTCTCTCTCCCTCCCACTCTGTCTGTACAAAAAATGGATAAATGTCCTCGGGTGAGGATAAAACAAAACAAACAAACAAAAAAAAACAAAAAAAAATAACAACTCTATTGAGAGATAATTCACATACCATACAATTCACCTCATTAAGGTGTACATTTCAGTGGCTTTTAGTATATTTACAGAGTTGTATATCCATCACCACAATTAATTTTAGAATATTTTCAGCACCCAAAAAGGAATCCTATACTCATCACCAGTTACTCCCTCTTTTTCCCTTTCCCTAACTCCTGGCAACCACTATTCTACTTGAAGTGTCTATGGATTTGCCTATTCATGTTTCATTTAAATGGAATCATACAAATATGGTCTTTTGTGACTGACTTTTTTCACTTTACCTGATGCTTTCAAGGTTTATCCATATTGTGGTATTTCATTTCTTTTCTTTTTTTTTTTTTTTTTTTATCCTCACCCGAGGACGTTTTTCCATTTTTTGTTCAGATGGAGCAGGAGGGAGAGAGAGGGAGAGAGAGAGAGAGAGAGAGAAACATCGATGTGAAGGGACACATCGAGTGTCTGCCACCCGCACGACCAACCAGGGCCGGGGACAAACTGCAACTGAGGTACGTGCCCTTAGCGGGAACCGAACCCGGGTCTCTCTGTACCGCAGGCCGACGCTCCAACCGCTGAACCAAACCGGCCAGGGCTCATTTCTTTTTATGACCAAATAATATTCCATTGTATGGATAGACCCCATTTTGTTAATTCATTCATTATTTGATAGACATTCAGGCTGTTTCTCCTCTTTGGCTAGTGTGAATTATGCTGCTGTGAACACTCGTGTACAGGTTTCTGTGTGGACCTGAGTGTTCATTTCTCTTGTGTATGTACGTGAGCGTGCAGTTGCTGTGTTGTGTTGTATCTCAGCATTGAACCGTTTTGTGGGCAAGGGTTCCACTTGTTTCCAAGGTTTGGGGAGAATGGAAATGAGGAGAAAAGTCACATTCTTGAGAAGTACGTGAATATCTTCTATTAAAGAGGGCTTTATTTAGCTGGGTCCTAATGATAACTTATTATTTTTTTCTTTATTTTCTTTTTAGAAGGAAGAGATTGTTGTGACTCTCTTACCAGCTGGTCATTGCCCAGGATCAGTCATGTAAGGGGCTCATCTATTTTGCCTTATATTATATGTAGATATGTATAATATTTGTGGAAATACATTTTTAGGGTCTAGAAAATAATATGTATAGAGATATTTTATTTTTTAGGGCACTTTTTAAAATCTTTGCTTCTGAATTGAACTTGGGGGGCTGAGGCGATTATCATGTTTGAAACATGGATTTCTTATCATGGAAGTCTTCAGTAGCTATTTCTGCATTGGCTTTATATTTTCCTATCACATGGAGTTTTCTCTCCATGAGCAGGAATGATCCCAATATATAGTTGAGAGTGCTAATATATTTCAGGAGACATTTATCGAAAACTCAGTGGTATCTCCGTGTGTCATTTTTTCCTATCCCATGGAGCGTGGCGGCTGAGTGCCTGGTGGGGCTTGGAGCTAATGAAGCTCCGTTAGAACTGTGTCATAGTGGCGTCTTTGGCAGGAAACATTTGCTGTGGAATTAGTATATATTTGCATTATTAGGGTGTTGTATGAGACTGAGAAGTCACTGATGTCTATTTTCTTTACAGGTTTTTATTTCAGGGTGATAATGGAACTGTCTTGTACACAGGAGACTTCAGACTGGCCAAAGGAGAGGCTGCCAGAATGGAGTTTCTGCACTGTGGTGGCAGGTACTGGGCTTTCTATAACTCGTGAGTGTAAGACTGCACCATTTACAAAGTTGTGTTGTCCCGTTCCCCACAAATACAAGCCTTTGCTTCTCTTAGAAGCCAGACTTGATTGTAATAGTTGTAATAGTAAAGCTAATTTTTCTTATTAAAATGGTGCTGGTAACATTCTGTGTTGATTGGGGTAGTAGTTACATGCATTTGTCAAAATTCACTGAACCATGTGAACCATACATGCAAAATCTGTGTATTTTATTGTATGGAAATTATTTCTCAACAAAGTTGTCTTAACAAAAAAACTCCAAATGGAATGGAACATCCTATAAAGTAGCTGACAGGTTAAATTTTCTACATATTTTATTTCACATGAGATTAACACCAGTTGTTTTTCTTTCCCCCAGAGTGAAAGACATCCAAAGTGTGTACTTAGATACTACTTTCTGTGATCCAAAATTTTATCAAATTCCTAGTCGGGTAAGTCTCTCTGGAGAAATGGGGTAAGAACCTGGGGTGGCACATTTCTAGTAGGAAGTTTGTGGGATAACAAATCAGGTCATGCTTGTCCCCACTGGCATTAATATTTGTGAATGTTGGGAATAGAAAGGGACATTTTTGCATTTTTTTGTTCAGACAGAGCGGGAGGGAGAGAGAGGAAGAGAGAGAGAGAGAAACATCGATGTGAAGGGACACATCGAGTGGTTGCCACCTGCACGACCAACCAGGGCCGGGGACAAACTGCAACCGAGGTACGTGCCCTTAGCGGGAACCGAACCCGGGTCTCTCTGTACCACAGGCGGACGCTCTAACCGCTGAGCCAAACTGGCTAGGGCAATATATATATTTTTAAATACTTTCATAATCTCTGTTTAATTTATTGAAGTGACATTGGTTAATAAAATTATACAGGTTTCAGGTATACTCTTCTACAATACATCATCTGTATGTCGTATCGTGTGTTCACCACCCCAAGTCGAGTCTCCTTCCATCACCATTTATCCCCCCTTTACCCTCTTCTACCTCCTCCCACCCTCTTCCCTCTGGCAGTCACCATACTGCTGTCTGTGTCCATGAGTCTTATGAGTCTTTCTTTTTTTTAAAATTGATTTTTAGAGAGAGAGAGATAGAAACACTGATGAGAGAGAACATCAATTGGCCACCTCCTGCATGCCCCCCACTGGGGATCCGGCCCACAACCCGGGCATGTGCCCTGACCGGGAATCGAACTGGCGACCTCTTGGTGCATGGGATGAAGTTCAACCACTGAGCCACACCAGCCGAGCTTGAGCCTGAGTCTTTTTTTTTTTTTTTTTCTTTGCTTAATCCCTTCACCCTTCTCACTCAGCTCCATGCCCCCTCCCTTCTGACAGCTGTTAGTCTGTTCTCTGTCTCTGTGAATTTGTCTCCACTTTGTTATTTTGTTCATAGAAGTGAAATCACATGGTACTTGTCTTTCTCTGGCTGGCTTATTCCCCTGGGTAAGTGATATTCTTAAAATTGTTAAATGCCTTTTAAAAATCCTGCCAGGGGGAGTGTCTGAGTGGAATACTGGAGCTGGTTCGGAGCTGGATCACGCGGAGTCCGTACCATGTTGTGTGGCTGAACTGCAAAGCAGCTTACGGGTATGAGTATCTGTTCACCCACCTCAGTGAAGAATTTGGACTCCAGGTACGGTGGCGGCTCTTCCTTTTCTGCTTCTCCCTTCCATCCTCCCAATTCACCTTTTCTCCCCCTCCAACCCCAATGAAACTGAAAACAATGAAGATGGAAACAACCTATCAAAGCGTGTGTGGCACAGGTTGGCAGCCCCTCTCAAGTAACATGTCATCTTTGTTTGTTCGCATCCTCATGGGAGGACTTGACAGTGGCCCAAATGACTGGGAAGAGCCTTTTCGTGAAATGTCCCCTAGAGAAAGTATTTTTTCAAAACCCTGTAAGCCATGAAATAAATTTAGTGACTGTGAGCAGCACTGACAATAAATTTGAACTAGAGAATATTCGAGTGTATTGCTTGCAGTCAGAATAATTATTGTTTTGCAAAAATTTATGGAGGGGCCCTGGCTGGTTTGGCTCAGCGGTTAGAGCGTTGGCCTGCGGTCCGGAGAGACCCGGGTTCGGTTCCCGCTAAGGGCACGTACTTCGGTTGCAGTTTGTCCCCGGCCCTGGTTGGTCGTGCGGGTGGCAGCCACTCGATGTGTCCCTTCACGTCGATGTTTCTCTCTCTCCCTTCCTCTCTCTCCCTCCCACTCTATCTGTACAAAAAAAAAAAAAAAAATTTATGGAGGGAAGCAGACATGCATGTATGTGTATGCATACTGAGTTGCTGTGTAAAACGTATTTCTGACTGTGGGTCATGGTCAAAATGTCTGAAATACCTGTCCTAGAGCGCTGTGGATCTATATCTGATCAGGCTGGGAGGGAGTCTTCCTGTTCCTTCCAGATGGTTCAGTGCTGTGCTGTCAGGACGCTGGGCAGCAGAGCCCAGTGTGTCTGTGAGGGGCTGCTGAGCAGAGATCCCCCTTCCTGCTGCCCACATGGAGCCTGTAGCATCTGCTCTTGTTCCCTAAGACAAGATGGACTTTTGGTAATGGTGCTGAACAAAACGAAGTGCCAGAACTAGTTGGACAGTTAAGTGCCTTTTATATCTTTTTTTAAAAAAAATATGTTTTTATGGATTTTTTAGAGAGAAAGGAGAAGAGAGAGAGAAACATCGATGTGAGAGAGATACATCCATCGGCTGCCTCCTGCATGCCCTGACCAGGAATCGAACCGGGACTTCTCAGTCTATGGGACAATGCTCAATCACTGAGCCACACCAGCGGGTGCTTTTGTATATTTTAATATGGATTTCTCAGCTAACTTGTGCAAATAACTTAATGATTATATACAATGTAATTTAGTAAAATAAAAGATCTAGATTTTTTGCATTGGAAATTTTGAAATTCTTCCCTCCCTCCCTGCCTTTGTAAGTCTTTACTTCCTAAGTCCTTCTTTCCTTAATTCCTTCTATCCAAATATGTTGGTGTAAAGTTGCCAGTTCTCCATTTTAGGAAGGATCTGTGTTTATTCTGAGATTTTTGGTGTTAAATGGCCTTTTAAATTAGAAACACAGTAATGATAGGTTGTATGTGCACACACACACAAAGTTATCTACAATACAGTCTGCTGTTTTTTTTCCCCTCATATCCTCTCTTGGTAGAATATAATGGTAATAACTACTTACCAGTCCCAAATTTGTTTTGTAAATTTCAGTGGTGTGTGAAATTGAGTGGACAGACTGGAAGCCCCTGCCCTCTAGGCCTTGCAGGAAAAAACCGTGGGCTGAGGAGGGGATCCCAGTGGGGGAGAGCAGGCCTTCCTTCAGTGGTGACCTCAGTCACCCTGCAGGGAGTCCCCTCTTAATCCCTTTTAGGGAATAGAAACAATTTCAGATCAGGAATTTAAAAAGGGAGAACAGTGAGGTTTCTGACCAAGGGATTTCAGCGATGATCTATGGCAACTTTTTCAGGCTTCTTCATTTTTGTAAGAATGAAGGTTTCTATATTGCTCTCTGTACATCTCAGAATTTACATCCCCCCCCCCTTTTTTTTTTTAATCCTCACTCGAGGATATTTTTCTATTTATCTTCAGATAGAGTGGGAGGGAGGGAGACAGAGGAAGGAAGAGGGAGAGAGAAACATCAGTGTGAGAGAGACACATCAACTGGTTGCCTCCCACATAACCCTGACCAGGGCTGGAAACGAACCGCAACTGAGGTACGTGTCCTTGACCAGAATCGAACTCGAGACTCATTGGTCCATGGGTCAACACTCTAACCACTGAGCCAAACTGGCCAGGGCAGTTTATCCCTTTTTTATGTCCTTCTTGGAGAGGCCAGAAGAGCTGATTCATTGTTACTCCTTAGTCCTTAATAAACCGATAGTGAGCAGAATAGGCCACAGGATAAGTAAGTGATTATGCTTGGATTCTTTTTATACCTGTCTTGGTATTAATTGCCACAGCAATTTGGCATTATTCTAATCTGTTTTGTTCAAAATGAGAATACTTTTTTGGTGCCATTTCATAATCCTTACATCAACTTAGGTACATTAGGTCCTTGAATATGTTCATTATAACATCAATGAGATGCTCTAGTAACTTAACTCTTGTTTATAGCAACTGTCTATGGTAAATTGGCTTGTTATATTGTTGCTTAGTTCCAAGAACCTACCAATGACGTTAAGTGAGGACTTACAGTATACTGTTTACTTAGAAGTAGCTAGAAGAGAAGCTTTAGGTAAAACTGGCATGTTGGTTTTATTTTATTTTATTTATTTATTTATTTATTTATTTTTTTATCCTCGCCCGAGGATATTTTTCCATTTTTTGTACAGATAGAGTGGGAGGGAGAGAGAGGAAGGGAGAGAGAGAGAGAAACATCGACGTGAAAGGGACACATCGAGTGGCTGCCACCCGCACGACCAACCAGGGCCGGGGACAAACTGCAACCGAAGGTACATGCCCTTAGCGGGAACCAAATCCGGGTCTCTCCGGACCGCAGGCCGACGCTCTAACCGCTGAGCCAAACTGGCCAGGGCTGGCATGTTGGTTTTAATACTTTAAAATGTATTGTCCTTAAAATTTTAAAGGTTGCCAAGAGTTTTTTTTTTTTTTTTTCTGCATCTGTCCTCCTGGTTTTCTTCCAGTAAAGAGGTGTGTGGTGAGGGAGGGTGGGTGTCTGCTTTCTAGTCCAGCTCCTTTTCCATCAATTGCCCTTCTACTGGATGTTATACATACGTGTTCATGAGCAATTTTTTTTAAATATGTTTTTATTGATTTTTTAGAGAGAGAGGGGAAGGGATAGAGAAACATCAATCGGCTGCCTCCTGCATGCCCCCTCCCCCAATGGGGATCAAGCCCACAACCCAGGCATGTGCCCTGACCAGGAATTGAACTGGGACCTCTCAGTCCATGGGACGGTGCTCAATCCACTGAGCCACACAGGCCGGGCTACTTGAATGACTCTTGATGGACCGAAGGACAGTATTAGCATGATCCAGTGAAATCCACTGAGTCTCCAGAATTTTTTTCTTACCACCACCAATAGGTGGTATCACTGACTGGTGGGAATATGATCTTTGTCCTTTACCTGTTGACATCCTGGCAGAATACTAGTGTGCACTGAAATGCCAAAAAAGTAGGTTTCAAGAAAGAAGAATTGGTTCCCTAACTGGATGATTTATCCCTGCATAATTATTCTCGAATAATTTTTTTTATGGAAAGTACAGTTCAAATACTTATCTGTTATTTTCCTCAGGTTCACGTGGATAAACTAGACATGTTTCGAAACATGCCTGACATTCTTAATCATCTTACCACAGACCGCAACACTCAGATCCATGCATGTCGCCATCCAAAGGTACATAGTAAATTGCTTTTCTCGTTGTTTGCGGGATCCATGGGAAACAGAATTAGGTCCAGAAGGAACCTTAGAAATTCCATTTTCAAGGCTCTTCAATTTATAAATGTAAAAACTGAGGCTGAGATCCTAAGTTATTAGCCCAAGTTCATGCAACTGTTCATTATTGGATTCCATTACCATAAACTTCATAATTAGTAAATAGACACAAATACTTATGGTTTTTTATTTATTTATTTATTTATTTATCCTCACCTGAGGACATTTTTTTTCCCGATATTTTGGTCAGATAGAATGGGAGGGAGAGAGAGAGAGAGAGAGAGACATCGACATAAAAGGGACACATCGAGTGGTTGCCATCCACACGACCCAACCAGGACCAGGACAAACTGCAACTGAGGTACATGCCCTTAGCAGGAACCAAACCCGGGTCTCTCTGGACCGCAGGCCAAAGCTCTAACCACTGAGCCAAACCAGCCAGGGCTACTTATGGTATTTCAGTGACATATATTCGTACACATTTGATACATGTTTATCTGGAATGAGTTATGTAATGAAGAATTTATTTGTAATGAAACTAGTGAAATATTAGAGCTTATAATTTAAGAAAACATTCACAATCCATTGCTATTTTCTTATTTTTATTTCCATCACCAATTATCCCCTCTGTGCCCTCTTCCACCTCCTCCTACCCCCCTCCCCTGCAATCACCATACTGTCCATTGCTGTTTTTGAGACTCATGACATGTGCACATTTATAAATGTATTTTTCTTCTCATTTGAGATCAATATCTAAAGATAACTTTGCTTTGCATTTTGAAATAATTACATGTTTTGCTGGTCTAATTTCAAATGACTGTTTCTAGTATCTTTGTTTTTTTTTTTTTATCCTTACCTGAGGACATTTTTGCATTTATCTTCAGACAGAGCGGGTGGGAGAGAGGAAGGAAGAGATAGAGAGAAATATTGATGTGAGAGAGACACATCAAGTGGTTGCCACCCACATGACTCCAACCAGGGCCGGGGACAAACTGCAACCAAGGTGCATGCCCTTAGCGGGAACCGAACCCAGCTCTCTGTGGTCTGTGGGCCGACACTCTAACCACTGAGCCAAACTGGCCAGGGCTGTTTCTACTATCTTTGCAACTCACTTGTAATTTGGTTTTTAATGCCACTGTAGAACTTCCTCTTAGCAAATGCCCTTCTGTTATTAAATGCCAGGTATTAAATTTTGAATTTACTTTTAACATTAAAAAATGTTTAATTTATTTAGTCATTCTACGTTGCTAATACTAATTTAGTTATCTTCAAATGCAGTGGCATACATGATCATAATTTTCCTCTAAATTTTAAAGTATCTTAGCGTTCAAATGCTGAGTACTTTTTATTTTAGTAAATGCTGCCTTTATACATTTAGATAATCATTATGGTTGTAGTATTGGCTTCATTGGCCAAAAACCTAACGTAAAGTTGCTCAAGTCCTAAAATAAAACATAATTAAAAAAAAAAAAAAAAAAGGAAAAGAATTCATACCCATAGAATGGAATATTCTACTTCAGACCACTGTAGGAGAGCTACAGGTAAGGAAGTACTTTGATGATGGGTAGGCTGCATATTATAATTTGCATTGAGTTTCTTTTTTTTAAATTTGTTTTTATTTTTTTATTTTTGAGAGAGAGGTGAAGGTGGAGGCGGGAGAGAGAGAGAGACAGAGAGAGAAATAGAGAGAGAAAGAGAGAGAAACACTGATTTGTTGTTCCACTTATGTGCTCATTGGTTGATTCTTGTGCTCTGACTGGAGATCAGACTTGGACTACACTCTAACCAACTGAGCCGCTCAGCCAGGGCAGTTTACTTTATCATTTTGCTTGTGGGTGCATACACCTACGTATACACAGCCAATTAATTTGTGGTTGGATAAAAATAATGTAGATACAAAATGAAACTGTCCCTTTTCTGTTGGACTTATAGCCTTTGGTCTCCTCACATCCCATAAATCTTTTAATTGGCCAAGTTTTTTTCATTCCGAGTTTTCTCACATCCTACAAAGTAGCTTAATTTGTAACTACTACTCCTGTCATTTCCCACATGGCTACTTGCCTTGAACCACAATTTCTAGCAGCTGAAGAGATGTCTTAGTCACGTAGTGTTAAAAGTACGGAGCAGAGCACAGCTCACAGAGCCCTGTGGCAACTAAGACGAAGCCTCGAGGAAACAGCACCAAAGGCACTGGATGCTGTGTGATCCGGATGGAGTGTGCGTGTGGTTTTGAAGGATCCTGATCTAAACATAGTGTGTTGGGGAAAGAAGTCCCATTGATTTTAACCTTTTAAAAACACTTCTATTTTTTTTTCTAACTTTATTTTGAAAATTTTTTAAACAGTCATGAGTCTGGATTCCCCAGTTTGTTAACACTTTGCCACATTTACACCCTTGCTGCCCCCCACCCCGCTCTCTCTGTTGGTGTGTGTCACCAACCCCTTACCCCTATTTGAGAGTCAGCCGACACTTTACTAACCTTTCAGCACGTATCACTGCAGAATGGACATTCTCCTGTATAACTACAATACGAGTCCCACACTCAGGAAATTTATCACAGATATGATGCTATTGGGTATCATGTGGTCCACATTCAGTTTTCCTCAGTTGTCCCATTAGCATCCTTTATAGCTTGTGGAGGGGAAGCAGGGCATCCAGGAATTCATGAAGAATGCTTAAAGAGTCCTCTTTAGTCTCTTTTGATGTAGATCACATCTGTGGCCTTTTGCTTTTCTTCCATCACGTTGCTACTTTGGAGATTCCAGGATAGTAGTTTTACAGAAATTTCCTCACTTTGGAATTATCTGATTGTTTCCTCATGTCTCCATTTTTTTTTCTTGAAATCTTTATTAATTTATTTTTGTTACAGATGTTTCTCCTTTTCCCCCCATTGACACCTTCCTCTGACGCCCTTCCCCCCAGCATTGTTGCCTGTGTCCATTAGTTATTCTTCTATGCATAAGTTCTTTAATTTATCTCTTCTCTGAAATTTGTCAGTCTGAACCCTACTTCCGTGTCTCTAGGTCTGTTTTTTTCATCACCTTATTTTGTTTGTTATATTAGACAAATAAGTGAGATCATGTGATACTTGTCTTTCTCTGACTGGCTTATTTCACTTAGCATAACACTCTCCAGGTCCCTCCATGTTGTCTCAAAGTATAAGAGATCTTTCTTTCTTACAGCTGCGTAGTACTCCATTGTGTATATGTACCACAGCTTTTTTTATCCATTCATCTATTGATGACGTGTCCATTTTTTGTTCATGTCTGAAAACTTATCTACTTTTGTTAGTGAGATCCAGCCTACAAGTATATTTGTTGAAAATGTTGAACTGCTTTTCTATATTTTTAAATATATTTTTTAGGCAGAGGAATATTTTCAGTGGAATAAGTTACCCTGTGGAATTACTTCCAAAAATAGAATTCCGCTCCACACAATCAGCATTAAGCCATCCACCATGTGGTTTGGAGAAAGAACCAGAAAAACAAATGTAATTGTGAGGTAAGAAAGCAATGTCACAGTTCTTCTGAGAGAAACCTTGCTTTGAGGTAAATTGTCTGATTTTAGTTTAAATGCAATCTAGCCTAAGCCCAAGAAGAGGGTATAATTGTGGAAAATACCTTCTGAAATTTAAACTCAATTTAAACTAAAGAGAAGCTGCTTCGAAACCTATCTCATGGCTAATATCAGCCAGTCTTTCCTGAGGCCTCTCTAGTTGGATAAATGGTTGTAAACTGAAGGTATGTTGCTTGGCAAGGAGTTATGGACTGATATCGGAGGGAACAGAGCCCTTAGCGAAGTAGAGGAGTACCATAATGATCATCATTTTGGGGCAACATTTCCTTAATACTGGCTGTTCAGAATGTCTGCAGATATATATATTTCTGGAAAGAGTGTTCCAGGGAGAAATTCTTTTTTTTTTTAATCCTCACCTGAGGACACTTTTCCATTCCTTGTTCAGATAGAGTGGGAGGGAGAGAGAGGAAGAGAGAAAGAGAAATATCGATGTGAGAAAGACACATTGAGTGGCTGCCACCTGCACCACCCGACCAGGGCCAGGGACAAACTGCAACCGAGGTACATGCCCTTAGTGGGAACCGAACCCGGGTCTCTCTGGACCACAGGCCGATGCTCTAACCGCTGAGCCAAACCAGCCAGGGCATGGAATTCTTGATTGTAGGGCATTTTTACTGGAATAGCCTAAATAGAAAGGCTCAAAATTTAGAACTTAGCTTAGTTTTGATAAATGACCTTTTAATTTTGTGTTTTCATTTCCCTTTAGGACTGGAGAGAGTTCATACAGAGCTTGTTTTTCCTTTCACTCCTCCTACAGTGAGGTAAGAGGATCCCATATGCGTGTAAACCTGTTGCCGGCTGCTCTGCAGCCTCATGGTTGAGAGCAAGTCTCCTCTACGCCCAGCGGCATCTGTTTCTAATGCTGAAGATTTGTTGTGGCTTTTCCTAAAGAAATGCAGAGAAGATATCTCAGTGGATGAGCAATGTTTACTAAGTATGAGGGAAATTGCTGTTATTACCTGTTTTCAGCCTAAACATTGAAAAATATTTATATGATTAAGGTTTTCTTCCTGTCTTGCTTCCTAAATGTAATGTAACTCCCTCACTTCAGTTGTACTGTTCACCTGTCATTAAAGAATCATAAATATTAATCGAAGGAATACTACAGATAAAACTGCATTATAGACTGTCTTAATATCCAGATCCTTGGCCTCTGCCAAAATTTGAATGTATTGAAAAGCCATTTAAAAAAATAGTCCTGAATATTCAGCATTGGGAAGAACAAAAATGATTGTGCTGTAGATCTTATCCTTAAGAAGGATGTAGTATCCTAGAACTACCCAGTTTTAAGAGAGCTTAAAATGGTTTAGTTATGGGAGAGAGAGAAACATTGATATGAGAGAGAAACATCAATTGCCTGCCTCCTGCACGGCCCCTACTGAGGATCAAGCCCACAACCCGGGCATGTGCCCTGACTGGGAATCGAACTGGGACCTCTCAGTTCATGGGTTGATGCTCAGTCCACAGAGCCACACCAGCTGGGCTACTTTATGGTACTTTTTATATAGAAAGTTGACCTGCTAGAATGGGAACTTGATATGTGTAATTTATTTGCAAAATTCTCATGCATTTCCAAAGTAAATGCTAGAGCAAGTGCAGAGATTCAGTAATTTCACATACTGGAGAAAAAACAATATAAAAGCAGGGTTTTTTTATGACACTTTACGTCATATATAATTTTAGTTTTGCCATTTCTGCACTTAAAAATCCATTTCCCTGATAACTGTTGTTTTTGTATTTGGGGTACATGGATACAGCCCTGCATCAGTGAGCCATGGGTGTGTTAATGATTTGAACAGGTGGATACTTCCGGAACTCCATGTAGCGGCATTCTTATTAAGTCAGCCATAGTATTCTGAATAATTCTTCATCATATTATCAAAATATCCCAATGATCTCTCTATTAAATACAGTGATATCTCGGTTCTCGAACGCCTCGGTTCTCGACCAAATCGGTATTCGACCAGGAGATTCGAGAAACTTTTGTCTTGGAATCCGAACAAATATTTGGAACTCGAACTTCTGAGATGAGCCGAGTTGAGCCGAATGGCGTTCATTCGGCCCAGCGCGCCTTGCTTGCGTCGTCAGTGTGAGTGCAGAGAGAGAGTCACGCTTTACACTGAATTTAACCCTTAGACATACTGTACACTTTTATTTCTTGTTGAGACTTATGTTTTTCTACATATTATATACAAATTAGGCCAGTAAATAGGCATTTTCTGGGGCTTGGAACGAATTAATCCAGTTTCCATTATTTCCTATTGGGTTTCATTGCTTCGGTTCTCGAACAATTTGGTTCTCGACCGTCCTCCTGGAACGAATTATGTTCGAGAACCGAGGTATCACTGTAGTAGGTTTAAATATCATTTCCTTTCAGTTTTTTCTAAATACATTTGATCTTTTTTTTTAAAATCCTCACCAGAGGATATTTTTCCATTTAGATAGAGTGGGAGGGAGAAAGGGAGAGATAGAGAGAGGAAGAAACATTGATTTGAGAGGAATATATCGACTGGTTGCCTCCTGCATGACCTCGACCAGGGCCAGTGACAGAACCGCAACTGAGGTTCATGCCCTTGATCAGAATCAAACCTGCAACTCTTTGGTCCCTGGGCCGACACTCTAACTGCTGAGCCAAACCAGCCAGGGCACAGTTGACCTTCTTTATTCATGGATTGTAAGTCCCACATCGATGCAAGCAGCGCTCTGTGGTAATTTGCAGACATGCACAATAGAGCAGTGAACAATTGCAGCTGCCTGACATGCACATTCTCATCTCAGGTCCAACACGGCAGCATTCTGCCTTCTCAGAGTGTCCCTTTTGCAGTCTATGTAGTGCTGCATTTCTCATGTTTGTGCCTTTGTTGGTGATGTCACTGTTTAAAGTGACCCCTAAGCATAGCACTGAAGTACTGTCTAGTGTCCTTAGGTGCCAGAAGGCTGGCGTGTACGTTATGGAGAAAATACATGTGTTTGATAAGCTTCATTCATTCAGACATGAGTTATAGTGCTGCTGTTGGCCATCCATTCAGTGTTAATGAACCAACTATATATTAGATAAGGTATCTTTAAAAAGAACCACACATAAAACAGGGTGATGTATGGATGGGTTGATAAAAACACTGTGATCAGAGGTTCACAGAGGTTCACATTTCCTCTAGAAGTAGTTGTTCAGTGTTCGCTAATTCAGGGCTCAAGGTGACTTTATGAGTAGAACTACTGTAAGTAGGGAGAATTGACTATGTTAAAGAATTGTTTTAAGGCAGGCACCTGACAAAAGGGCATCAAGTTGCCCTATACAAGTGAGAGGGGGTGCCCTTCTTTCAACTGGGTGTCTCCTGTCTCCTGTAGTGACTTCAGCTCTGAGTAGAATAAGTGAATCATTTGTGGTACAGGCTTGGCCTTACTTTTTATCCTTATTCCCTTCAAAAGCCTCCGAGTTCTATCAGCCTCAGCTTTGGGTTGATTATGCAAATCATACAGGTTGTAGACAGGTAAATAATGATTTCTATTTGCATGCCTGCTCTGAAAAGTATAAAGGAAATTGTTTATGAAAATATTTAAAGAATGGATCTTTATGTCTTTTCCCATCTTAATTAGGGTAGCCACTTTATTTTAACATGAAGTTATTGATAATTCCTGGGTCTTAGCTCTATTGATTTGGTCCTTTGAGAAAGTTGAGCACTAATAATTACCTTATACCTCAATCTCCCCATTTGCAGAAGGAAATAAAAAGCTTTGTGTTGTCATTATCAGCTTTGCAATGGATAATTTTATTGAATATTTAACCATGCCAGCCAGGTACTAGGCTTAGCTCACTTATACTTTTAGATGAAGAATTGAAGACTTAGAGACTTGAGGTAACAACTGAGATCACAGGCTCACCAAGATCTAGTCAGTTGAAGTTTGTCTGGGTTGTAGAGATGTTTTGGGGAATAGTGACCAAGTTCCTCTGTTTAGCATTCTGAGTTTTGTAGGAAATCAAGGTATTCGTGAAATGTTGCATGTAATTGTCCTTGTTTAGGTTAGAATATATTTGCAACAAATCAAGCAGCCGCAAAGATATAATTCCCTTGGTATTACTAACAATGATGCAAGTGGAAAGAAATGTGATTCTTTTTCTCTCTTTTTTAAAAATATTTTTTCTTTTTGATTTTAGAGAGAGAGAGGGAGAGGGAGAAATAGAAACATCAATGAGAGAGAACATCCATTGGCCACCTCTTGCATGCCCCCTATTGGGGATTGGACACACAACCTGAACATGTGCCCTGACTGGGAATTGAACCGGCAACCTTTTGGTGCATAGGTCGATGGTCAACCAGTGAGCCACACCGGCTGGGCTATTTTTCTTTTTTAATTAAATTTATTGCAGTGACAGTGGTTAATAGGATCATATAGGTTTCAAGTGTACCTGTCCATGATACATGATCTGTAGCATATTGCATTGTGTGCCCACCACCCAAAGTCAAACCATTTTCTGTCACAATATATTAGGCCCCCCAACAACCACCACACTGCTGTCTGTGTCCACAAGTTTTAGTTTTATATCCCACATATGAGTGAAATCATATGGTTCCTAGCTTTTTCTGACTGACTTATTTTGATTAGCATATTCTCAAGGTCCATCCATGTTGTTGCAAATAGTAGTTATTTTGTCTTTTCTTGTGGCTGAGTAGTATTCCATTGTGTACATGTACCACATCTTTTTATCCAGTCCTCTATCGAAGGACTCTTTGGTTGTGTCCATGTCTAGGCCACTGAATAATGCCACAATGAACATAGGGGTGCATATATCTTTGCAAATAAATGTTTTTGAGTTTCTTGGATAGAAAAGTAGGAGAGGGATTGCTGGGTCATATGGTAACTCTGTTCTTAATTTTTTGAGGAACCACCAGACTATTTTCCTTAGTGGCTGCATCAGTTTACACTTCCACCAGCAGTGAATAAGGGTTCCCTTTTCTCCACATCTTCTCCAACACTTGTTACTACTTGTCTTGTTGATAATAGCCATTCTAACAGGAGTGAGGTGGTATCTCATTGTAGTTTTGATTTGCATTTCCCTAAAAGGGAATGAAGTTGAACATCTTTTCTTATAACTGTTGGCCATGTGTATGTCTTCTTGGGAGAGGTGTCTGTTTAGGTCTTCTGCTCATTTTGTTTATTTATTTATTTAATTTAAAATCCTCACCCAAGGATATTTTTCCATTTATCTTCAGATAGAATAGGAGGGAGGGAGAGAGGAGGAGAGAGAGAGAGAGAGAAGCAGAAACAGAAACATCAATGTGAGAGAGACACATCAACTGGCCACCTCCCGCATGACACCGACCAGAGTCCAGGATGAAACGCAACTGAGCTGCATGCCCCTGACTGAAATCAAACCCACAACTCTGGTCTGCGGGCCGACTCTCTAACCGCTGAACCAAACTGGCCAGGGCTCTTCTGACCATTTTAATTGGATTGTTTGTTTGTTTAGTATTGAGTTTTATGAGTTCTTTATATATTTTGTGTATTAACCCCTTGTTGGAGCTGTGGTTTGCAAATATCTCCCATTTGGTCAGTTGCCTTTTTGTTCTGTTGTTGGTTTCTGTTGCTGTGCTGAAGCTTTTTAGTTTCATATAGTCCCATGTATTTATTTTTGCCTTTATTTCCCTTGCCTTTGGGTTCAAATTCATGAAATATTCTCTACGATCAAGGTCCATAAGTTTAGTACCTATGTTTTTATGTAATTTATTGTGTCAGATCTTATATTTAGGCCTTTGATCCA